CATAATTTCAACTTACTTTTTTATTTAGTTATAGAGAACTTTCCTTGAATAAAATGTTACCAGGCGTTTAAATATGTGTAACCCACAAAAGTGTTTTATCTGTTTAAAAGTGTTGAAGGCACAAAGGATAGAGATGGGCCATCTTTACCTGGACTCCAATTGCTTAGCCTCATTTGGGGTATGATTCTCCTTCTCTCAGAGACAACGCTGGAGGCACTTTAGCCAACGCCTAAGACACTGTGGAACGTTGAATTCCACAGATTTGCCCCAATACTCTGATAAACAGAAAGATGATCCCAAAGACTCACTGGAGTAGAACGGTAAATATATTTCAACCCTTGTGTCAACCATATGAATTGGCAAACTGCCTAGAGAAGTGTTTGAGAATGTTTCTGAAGTAAAAAAAAAGAATATGCTGGGTGTGTAGTGCACATCTGCAATCCCAATGACCGCGGCGGTTGAGGCAGGAGGGTCACAACTTCAAGGCCAGCCTGGGCAACTTAGTGAGACTCTGCTCAAAATAAAATAATAAACAAAGTATGGAGATATAGCTCAATGGTACAGTATCTTTGGGCTCAATCCCAGGAACCATAAAAAATAAGTAGATAAATAAATAAATAAATGACATAAGAGAAGTTGTTCAATTATCAATGTCAGGAATTCCAATGTCATGCATCTGGTATTCCTGGTCTTGAGAAACATACCAATCTGATATTCAAATCTAGTTTCACATGATATCTGCAGGATTGAATTATATGTTTGATAAATTAGGAAAACTATGCAATGGAGTTAGTGAGGCTTTTCCAAATTGAAATCAACGGAGAATGCTTAGGTAACCACATAGGAGACAGATTTTTTTAAGGACACCTGGGAAAGAGGCTGTGCAGGAAACCGTCTCGGAGTTTTCCTGCAGGTGAGCTGGTGAGCTGGCCAGGGAACTCCAAACAGCCCGACTGCTGCTCTCTCTTAGTGCTTTGCTGTTGTTTTGACTCAGCTTCTCTCTCCTTCTCTTTTACAGCTTCTGCCATGACAAATTCTAGTTCTTTTTATCTCAAGGCTTCTGCTTTCTTTCTTTATGTCTCCCTGCTACTTTCTTCTCTATATACCTCCAGTTCAAATTCCCTGCAGAGAAAGTCAACCTTCCAGAATGGAGTGCCCCCTGGGGAAGAATTTTTATGCCATGTTTCTGAATCACCACTTGACAGCTCATAGAAAGCTTCATTAGATCAGGTGCCCACCCCTAGTCCAATCACCTGAGCTAAGGTGGCCGAACCACAAGGTACAGAGGATGGAGAAGGGACGCCTGTGTCTGGAAGGGATGCTGATGAATCCCAGCAGGGGGCAGTGTAC